GAAAGATGGTTCATAGTACTAAGATTAGACATTTTAACTTCACATCTTTTTATATCAAGATTTGTATTTAAACATCCTAACACTTATTCCCTGTTACCAAACGAAGGCTTTCGGAATTTCTTAGGAAACTTCCGAGAAGTCTGCGAACGAGAACAGTTGTGAGAGAAATCCATTCTGTCCCTTCATAAATACACCGAAAATATGTTTTGAAGGCTTATCTGAATCGTTTGAACTAATGTGACTGAGTAGAGAACACTGCTCGAATGCCGTAACAGCAGTTTCTAGATCGTGATCCAGCGAAATCAATGAAAAACCACATCACGTGGTCAGTTGTTAGCCGGCTCCTCGAGTGACGACTATTCACTTGGTGGAGGCTTTACCAAGCCGGTCAGTACGTGACCATTTGATGTGATTTCCGTGATTGAAGGATGAACGGTGCTGTATCCTGTCTGTGCACCAGTCAGTCACAATTGTGACCAACCGCTTTTGGTCTAGCCGTTAAGAATTCAAACTAATAAGTCTGAAGGTCAACGGTTGGAAACTCGGAGATCCGTGAATTGCGCACTGCTGACGATTCCAAATAAGAATCATACGGCTGAACAATGCTTCTTGGCTTTTCAGCATATACAGCTTCAATTATAGGATAAAAGCTGAGTTAAAAAAAATTAACAAACATCCTTCCTTTACTATAGGTAAAAAATCATCAATCGATTTTTGCGAGACCCCGAATTCAGCTGTTTCGGCTAACGAGCTATCTCTATCGTCAATCTGACAGTACTTGTTACATGTTGACCAAATCGATGGACTATACGAATATTCCTTCTGGGGGTGTGCACGGTATTTGTGAAAGTAGGGTAGAGTTAAGTGTTCTGGTTCCCGCACCAAGTTTCTCGACCAATATGCCCTTCAATGCGATGTCACCTGCTCATGAGAATGCATGTGTTGAGCAGCATATACGAGATCCTGGTGGAGTAAAATCAACTCAGGTATGGTCGTGTGGAGTTTCATTCAGCCAGAGAAATTTAGAGTGGCACTATCACCATCATCATCGTCATCATCATCATCATTGACATGATGACATCAGTGTTCAACACCTATGCTTCACTGCCGTATAGAGTGGTAACACATGTAGGTGGAATGATATCTGCCACTTTAAAATAAATAAAACACTGAATATATTCATCAACGTGTGTTTTACGGAAGACGGTTGAGTGGCTTGAACCCCACATGGAAGTCTTCACTTGGGATGCTGAATCCTGTCTTTTCAATCTGCTTACATTTTGTTCCAGAACTAAACACGGAAAGCACTGCTGATCTACTTAGCTTCTAAACAAAGTAGTATATCAACCAGAAAATGAGCCAGCTCAATATTGAAATAATTCCGGCTGGTATTCGATGCGAATCTTACCGGATACAGACTCCTTTTTATAGTTAGCGTGAGGAAGCAAACTGAACGTTCATTCAAAGCGTAATCAGTAGTTATCTTGAGGAACTATGCTTGAAAACGCCCGTGAAACCACATTCAACTGACTGTAAATACGACGTTTGTAAAGAATACCAGATTTTTCCATCTTTGGGTCTGTGTAGAATAAACTCATTCAGTGGATCTTTGACAGAGCGAAGTCGATGCAACCCAAACTAGCTGTATACAGTCCGAAAGATAGCTTCCATTTCGTTCATCAAACATGAAAAACTTAACAATGTGAGGGATTCATTTGAATTGTAGTCACGTTAAAAACGCTTTGATACACACTACTTATGATTTTGTTAGTTGCGTAGGTCATGGAGAATTCAACGACTTATGATTTTGTTAGTCAAAGTGAGTGAACTTCTGTACATATTTTGTTTAGCAATTCAATGCTGCATTAAGATACCCACTAAAATCCATAGAAGAGTGCGCAAAAGAGGCAAAGTAGCTTTCTCGTTGTATCTTACTATGAACACGATTAAATGCACTTTAAAAGTCTTACTCCAATAAACGAAAATGGACTATTTTAAAGGTCCTGTTCTGCGGACTTTACGATACAGCCAGACCGCACGACGTTATGCAGGAAGTTCATTAGATCAGGAGATGTACCCGCGAACGGTTGAGGTGACAGTCTATTTTTAACCGTTTCCAAAAATTCGGTGTCAGGAACGTGGTATGCAATCACTGATCGAAACCAGCAATAGACTAGCAATCGGTCAATATTGTCGCAATAGTCGTTGCTCAACACACCGCTTGTATTTCCAGGAGAACTCAGTAGCTCGACACAACTACATTGATTTGGATACACTGGGAAAACCACAAACCAATAAAAAACATGAGTAGGAGGTAATGTTTTTTAGGAAACCATCATATTCAAAACTGATTTTTGAACGTCGTAGTTGCAACGCATTTCTGATAGTAGACAAAACGTAGTATTGCTGAGATATATGCGGATCCAGTATGATGTGTCATCGTAAGATCAGAGTGTCAGAATCTTTCAAAGCCCATGCTCTTGTCCAATAAAGAAATCTTGTGGTTACTCACTGTGAATCACACCGCCACTGACAATGGATAAGCTTAATATACTAATCGTGAAGTTCCTGAAAATCTTTACCATCGCAAGAAGGGCTTCGTCCTTCTTAGACATGGACCCCAAACTTTCCTTAACGTTTTGTTCCACTTGAATCCAAATTGCACAAAATTCGACTTATAAGCCCATCTGCTTCCCACGTCAAGTCAAGTCAAGTCAATATTCGTTCAACTGTGACACCTTTTCGGTGCCAAGCTGCCACACCCTACGAATGAAGCACGAGTTTCGTGATTCGGCCGGGGTGCCCAAGCCTAGAAAGAAGTCGGGATGCAGAGATAGGGTACGAACCACGGACCTTCCGGCCAGTAAATTTGCGCTCGAACCACTGAGCCATCTCGATGCACTTACCAGCTTAATTTTGACAGAAGATTTACCTGAAACCCAGCTAAACCTCTCTCAATTTGGGTTCAAGTAGAGCCTAAAATTGACGGGAACTTGCTGAGTGTGCCTACCTGATGAGCTCCAAGAAGACGAAACCGATTGTGAATAGTCGGAGAAGTAACCTCTTGAGTAGTGTTCTGCCATACAAACAAGATCTAATGGAAATTCTGTTGTCCATACGCAGTTGGAAACAAGCCTTCACGTTCCATACATCCGTGCATTTTTTTACAAATAAAGAAATCTTATCCAAAATCTGATTACACAGGGAAACTCAGAAGCCAGTCATCCCTAGAATTTACTCTGTACGGATAAAGCAAGTACGTATTCAGGCCCACGATGATTTGCTAAAAACTGCCCAGTATCTGAAAATCAGACTAAAATGATCACCTCTAGTGAGCACCCTGTGTGGCTTCTACTGTGTACCATGCATCAATTTCTTCCAGACGCCCACTGGGTTTGATTGACCTATCGGATTAAGAGATAAACTAGGGTGGTGAATTGCCACACCAACGCAGATTCATTTATCACTTGTCTATGTGTATATAGGACAGGTATTCTTTCATCTATCTCCTCTTCGAGATTGAAATTATTAGTACGTGTTATTAGCCCGATCACACTGGCTTGAACGTGCGGTGGATAGTTGAAATGACGCCCAAGAAAATAAAAGTACAGTCATTTTTCAATCGCCGCAACCAAGATAAAGGTATCTGAACTATGGAAAGACCTAGAATTCTTCGGGAGAGATGCAGAGGTGGAACGAGAATGGCCTCGTTGGTTTGGTAGTAGTCGACAAGACGATCGGCTGCAGTTATCAATCAGTACTCGAGGAATCAAAGCGAAGCAAAGCAATCATCATAAATGCACCCACATTTCTTATCCGACACTATAAAGGACATCTAGATCACCGAAAGCTTTCTGGGAAGAAATTCCGTCATTCTCGAAACGACAAAAAGCAGAAGGCCGCTAAACACATGGTGCACATCTCGTAGTCAGTGTACTCTCCGTATGTCGGTCACTTCGTCAAACAAGGTGACAGAACATCGGTTCATCGCTACGGTTACAAAAACAAAACACAATCTTTTCATAAAAGAAACTAATTACAAGGCCGCTGAAAACTCCCTGATCAAATGTGATGTGAGCAGATTTGGCAATTTTTATCAAAGATTTTGTCTTTTAGTTGAAGTCACTCTTCGCCAAACGATTAAGTGTTTTCGAGAAATACACTCATTTGCAAATCAATTTGGTTCTCATGAGAGACTCAACTGAATCTCTCGTTTATGGTATCCTACAACTGAATTTGCCGCACACAGGCCGCCTCATTTTACAGTTGGCACGATATTCGAGATATCCCAATAGGTTTCCATGAAGGAAACTACTCACAAGTTTGCTGAAAACTCTTCGACAGTCCATGACCGGTTTCGCCCTTCTTGGGATTCATCAGGTAGGCGCACTCCCTGAGTTTCCATTACCCAGACGTTACTTACTAGAAGACGAAACATCATAGACGAGAGATTCAGCTGGTTCCAGGTGTTGTCTCTCGAAAACACCAAATTGATTTGCAAATGAGTGTATTTCTCGAAAACACTTAATCGTTTGGCGAAGAGTGACTTCAACTAAAAGACAAAATCTTTGATAAAAATTGCCAAATCTGCTCACATCACATTTGATCAAAATTCTCCAGGACATTTCAAGCATCGGCCATGATGCTAGGTTCGAGGCTTTCGGCAAACCAGTCATATCCCTGAAGCGTTGTAAAGTTCACCCGTTCAGAGGTGATAATCCGTGTACTTCCAGTCTGTGCCAGTGGAGAAACGGCAACATCCACACCTCACATTTCAGGTGTTCGGAGTTCAAAATTTTGGCAAGGCACTACTGATGAAGCCTACTAAGTGCCGAATTCGAATCCAGTGCTTCTGTCCTTCGGAATGAACTCCCCATAATAACCATGTAGGAGAAGAATTGTTCAATACAGGGGGGCATGAGCACAACCCAATCAGAATCCACCTACACGTACAACTTTTTCATAAAACCGATTGGTCTGATAGCGCCATTCTCACCTACCGTCAGTTTTTTTTGGTGAAACGGATGCTGAGGTTCTAACGAGGTTTAACAGCATGAAATAGATCCTTCCACTAAAATATCATGTTAAGTACTTTTATCTTCCCTTGCTTATGAAAGAAATTCGGAAATTGTGACTGCGATACACGCAATATCGTTCAGCTGTAACACTCTTCTGGTGTCTAGCTGCCGTGCTATCCAAAGGAAGCACGAGAGCTGGGATACTGCCAGGTTGCCCAAGCCTAGACACGCAATACTACTGAGTTAGCGAGCCTTCGAGAAGAACTGGCACCTACCAGTCTCTCCTTTTCTGTTCAACTTTGGGTCAAACTACTCAAAAGACTCAAAAAACTGATTAAGCACCATTTTTATGACATGTTACAAAAGTTGTCATGGGGAAACACCGCTGGAATTGGAAACAAAATAAACCGGGAGCACTGTAATGCACGACTCGCACATAGCCTCTTCAAAAATTCTATGTTTTGAATAACTTTACCTAGGTAGTGTATTGCCTCTGCATGAGCGCCTCAATGAAGCGTTCCCAGTCGTGTCCCTTGGGGACATGTTCAGAATGCTAGAACTGTTTCTCGCCTGGCCGAGATTTGTGTAATAGACCGGACATGATGGTTTGTGTAAATTCCTGGGCAATGTGTTGCACAAGTGTTTGTCTCTGCTGGGTTTCGCGTCCTGCGACTTTCCGTGCAGCGGACATGCTGGCTCAATTGTTGGATTTGGTCGTGAATGAACCACACAAACGGGACTAGATCGTTTGAACTTCTTCCGTCGAGTCGTGTCTGGTGGTTGATCCGCTGGTATCCCATGAACTGGACATAATAACTCCAAATCATCTGTTAACATATCTGATCCAGAAGATGGACTGTCCGACGACCGCGTGCTGACCATTTCATCAATTTCTTTTAGACACAGAGGATTGACTATTGTTTGACTGGGCAACGGGGGCGTCCTGTGATGTGGTGTACTACTCGGAACGTAGATAAGTTCACCAGGTAGATGATTGTTGTCTCGATGTACAGTTAATTTATAGAAGGGCGATCGCACCTGTGTTTGGGAACTCTCTAGTTGGAGGAATTCGTTCGTATTTGTCTGCTCGTACACGAGGGGGGATAGATCGCATTGCTGAATTGAGACAGAAGCAAAATCACTGCTGAATCGGGATGGGGATGATATTGGAACAGTAAAAGGACTTTGTAGCAGTGGAGAAGAGACGCCTATTCGGTGATGGTGCGGTGTTGGAGGGCACAGAGTAGATGTGTTGTGTAAATTCACAATCTGTCCCAGACTAGAATAGTCTGGGTGCATATTGATTCCAAGGTCAGTACCAAGTGGACCGGAATGGTTGATTTCATATAGTCCCTGAGCACATGGATTTTGAACGGCCGAGATAGGACTGGAAAATGCCTCATGGCGTTGCACGTGACTTCTGTTAATCATATTGTCATAGCAACTTTGAGTGGTCCCAGACCGGCCGGGATCCTTGCTACGAACAGGTGTTCTTGTTCGAATACAACAATAAGTTATAACACCGGCAATAATGAAAGTGATATTTGCAGCCATGATAGCACCAATAATTAGAATATACTTTCCAAATTCAGTTGGCCCTGACAATTTTGACGTTTCTTTGGTCTGTTGGTTGTTTTTGTTTCCAGCTGCATCGCCATTGGCCAGTCCGTTTTCCACTTTGAGCACAAAATTGGCCGCGGCTATTCCCTTCTGATTGGCTGTCTGACATCGATATAGCCCCGTATCCAACTCATTATCCAAACTGGTGAAATGTAAGCTTGTTGTAAACTTGGTTCCCGCGTCTGTGACTTGTTGCAACCTTTTCCAGTGTGGTTGAATAAGCACGCTGTTCTGGTACCATTCCACCTGCATTTTAGGTTCGCTGATAAAAGTACATGCTAAGGTCAGATTGAATCCGCTAAATCCCACGACCTGTATTGGACTGGATGCATCAAGTTCAGCGCTAGGCGGTACAGTGCCAACCAGTTGCGGAGCACACTGTAAATCGGTCAGGTTTAGTTGGAGTAAAGATTGGCCCTTGAACAGAGGCGGTGTTGCACATTCGCCACCCGGATGTGAATCGGTGAACATTGCCTTTCGGGGAACAAGACTCAGCCAACGTCGAAACCACAACATTTGACAGTCACAGTCCCATTGAACGTTTTCCAGACTGAGCCGCACAATATATTCTGGACGGAGACCATCAAAGCTTTGTTTACCCAGATCAATAAATGCATTGTGCGCCAGATTCAAGTGATGCAGTTTAGCCAGTCCACTGAAAGCTCCTGGTTCAATGTGTATTTTCAAAGTGCTTCCGGCCAAATCTAACCTTTCCAAAGTAGCACCCATATTTTTCAGGAATCCAGATGGAATAAACCCGATCGGGTTTCCTGATAGATCCAATCGTTTCAATTTTATCAGACAAGCTAGGGCTGTCACCGGGAATGGTGTCAAACGATTAGAAATCAAGTGGTTGTTACGCAAATCCAAAAATTCCAGGGTTGGTCCCAAAGGCAGGAAGGCTCGTTCGGTTATTTTGTAGATGCGATTGTGATTCAGCGACAGACGACGCAGACTGACAAGCCGACTGAAACTATCTTCGTGTAACACCTCGATGAGATTGTGAGATAAATCCAAGTCCAGTGTATTTCTATGTATGATGGACGGTACATCGGTAAGTCGAATGTGATTGCACCGGAAAACAGAAACATCCACTTGTGGCGTACAGGTACTACCCGCTTGTGGAAGAAGAACGTTGATGATCAGGGCTATCCGCAAGGCAGCAAGCATCAATAAACCGGGATTTCATTTGCTCCCTTGCTCTGGGTGAACCAACTCAGCAACATTTGTTCCGATCACGTGCCCGGTAAAAGTGGGAAAGCGCAAGTTTGCGCACAAAGCATCTCCTCATTTGGGAAGGGTAAGACAAATCGATCGGTAGTCACTGAAGTCTGTCGCGTACATATTCGTTCCGCCTCTGATTGTCCATACTTGTACATATGTACGTGGCGTTGAGTTGTTGTGACGCTATTTCACGCACGCGCATCAGATACCGGACGAACCAGGAATCCGCTAGGTATTTGTTTGCAAATGTGCACGAGTTGACGTGCGTACGTGCGTCGGTGCGACAATGCGTGTGCGTGTATATAGGTATTGTCGCGGCTACTGATTGGCTCATAGAACGAGGGCAGATGAAAGGCTTAGACCAATGGGAAACATGCGTTGTACCGTCAATTAGTCAGTTCCTTATTGAGCTATATGACACAATAGTGTTCATTTCTGCTTGAATTTCTACTCAGATTCCTCCCTTCCCTGCCGACTAAGGAGGAATTTGTTTACCAACAACACTTGTGGGTGAATGGCGCCGCGGCAACGCCCGAAAACTATTGACAAAACCCCTTAATTGTGGGAAATTTGTTCGATCCGATATGTCATTTGTGCATGTTCTTCCAAATCCAGCATTGTGTCTAGCAGTGACACTTTGTAAAGTGGTTTTCTCTCTTCTCAAAAGAGAATATCTGAGTAAAGATGTCGGCCAGGCGGACCAAACTTGAGAAAAAAGGATCGATGAAATTTCCAAAACAGCTTATGTGGGAATCAGTGATTGTATAAAACCGAAAGACAGTTTGTTGTGTTAATTAGATTATAGACTGAGATTCACAGTTGTTGCATTCACTCTCAAAAAAGTTACCTGATGAACGTTAAGCATACAATGCCTGGTAATCGTAGTAAAAATCTATAAAAAAACTGTCATATATGGTGAATCCAAAACGTGGAACTTAATTAATCGAGATGAACTAACCACACGAGATTCACAGCCAGGGTATCTGGTCTTCAAATCTAGTAGGCACTTGCGGTGGGTTTTAGTTAGGGTAGAAAACTTTCCGTAGTTGGGTTCTGATTGGTTTTTGCACTTTGTGAAGTGTTTTGAAGCGAAGATGAACAACTATTCGTCACTAGTGTAGTGAATCTTCTGAAACGATATGGTGGAATTTTGACATTTTGATGGTTCAATATATTGAAACTCAGACTCTATGTATGAGTGGCCCAAGAACACGTATCACGGACGAAAACGTGAATCTCTTTAAAGGACTGGAATAGCAGTCCTATCGCTTACTGGACGGGTGCTGTTTCAAGTGAGCCATCGAGGACGCCTTCTTTCCGCCACGCGTAAACATATAAGCTCCACAACCGATTCGCCACACCTCCGTCTGAGGAACTGGCGACTGATATCTGTCGGCTCAATTAGTAGACCATTGCGTGACTTGTATTGGTCCAAGATGACCCCCTTGGTAGCGCCAGAGGTCCACCGTGGAAGATTTCGTTGGGCTTTGGAAGACACAACCACTGGCTCTTAATTCTCTGATGGCCCTCCAGCCACATTCCCGGCGTCGAAATGCATAACACTGGGACAAGTGTGTAATGTACGATGGAGTATAGATGGGGGAACGCACAAATTTTTTTCAGTTCAGAGGAAATTACTCCACATATCGGATCTCGTAATGGCTCATGTAAAAGTGAACAAGAACAACCCTATTTAGGGCTATATACGGTGATGGACATTCTATTCGGCAAAATCATTGTCGTGTGAATGCTTACGGGGGAACAAGGGCAAGAACAAAACAGGTAACATTGTTTAGACGCACTAAAACCGTTAGAGCGATTTCACTATAATGCTAGATTTCCCGATAAATAACATCGCTGTGTTGTGCACCACACCTTACATCATTCCAGAGCGTGTACAACAGTATCACATCAAGCAAGAAACCATCAAGAACGACAGATAGGTAGATAACCAACCATCTGGCCACAAAAGCCACCACATCACTGGTAGGTGGGGCTAATCAATCTAAGATATCCAGGACTGGGATGATACCACATTGTTGTAGCTCACGGGTAGACTTGACAGTTATTTGGGCATGGTTAAAAATTGCGACCACTGAATTCGTCCTAGTCGTTGTGAATTTTAAGACAAAAATATGATCTGTTTAACGGAGGAGAGAGAAAACCGAAGGATTGATTGTACTAACAAATATATTTTAGCGCGACCACAAGCACTTTTAATTTTGAGGGCTGAGTGATAAAATCGTTGTTACCTTGCCCCCAGTTTATCGGTACAGGTCACTGTTGATCCTGAACCGCATATTCATGCTACTTCGGAGCAAGAACTCTTTCAGAAACGTAACTAGAAGAACTTCTTGATTTTGCTCAACCAGATACTCACAGAGGGACTCAACGGTCCCCACAGTGCGTAGGTTCGTGAGCAGGGGAGACGAACGAATCGAAAACGTATTTTCCTCCAAAACGTCCGGGTCATTGGTTAAATCAGCAAAACGAAACATGTTGCGCAGACTATACTGGGCGAATTCTACTCCTGTAGGTTGGTCAGACAAGCCGATAGTATGAACCCCACTGACGTCGATTAAACCCCATATCGTTTAGCATCTCCAGCCAAGCACAGATAGGGTCACAAGAATCCCCTTTTGAAAGGTAGGCAACATCAAGAGCACTTACATTTCACGTGACATGCTTAATTCCCTTCTACCCTGTCTAGTTCTGTCCACCTTTGGATCTGCACCGCTTCGAAATGGGCACGAAAAACAGCGCTCACATCAGCAAGCGATAACTCGGCATGCATAGCACATGACACAACCGCCTACGCGATCGATATCCGGGTTTATGAATCTTAAGTAAGGCATGTCTTATCGAACTATTTGTGTCTGTCGGATTATGCTCTGGAGGTAAAAATTTTTCAAACAGCTGTTCATCAGCAGTCCCGTTAGGGTCGTTTCATCCTTGGCGTTTGCTAAAAGCCGGAACTGAGAACATCCCTCCATTTTGCGCACATAGTCCCTCTTGGACATGACCACTAGCCCAAAACGTTTGTCGGGCTTAGAGACCACTGTGGTTTTGCTCAACTTTCGCAGAGCATATCTGCGCTCTCCACAAAATGAATATTCAAGCGAACCTCGTTGTAAGTGACACTGGTAATAAGTTGCCACAACAGACGAATTAAACTCTTCTAGTTTCATACCTGCTATCGACTGAAAATCCTGATGTGGTTTCTCAAGATTCTGAAACTGAGTTTTCAACTCTGACTGACTAATCTTGTTTTGTTAGTCAGAAAATTTCACTTTCACAGACAATTTTCAGTTTCCGTCATTCTTCTGTTCTACTTGAAACCAAATCACACTAAATTATCGAAATACATCTATTTGCAAACAAATTTGGTTGTTGCGAGAGACTCACCTGGAACCCAGCTAAAGCTCTCGCTCTTCATGTTCTTAAGCAACTGAATGTGCCGTACCAGACCGCCTCATCTTTTAGTTGTTACGATATTCGAGATATCAAGATACATGCGATACATCTGTTCTATCCGCCTTTTAAAGAAACCACCATACTTTTACTGGCAACCATATATGATAGGTTGGAAAACTCTATGTACGAGAGGGAGGAACGCAAAAACATAAACAAATATAGAACATCAAATAAAGAAGGACAGCATCAGAGAAATATCCCATGATAAGTGGTTGACCTGATAGCTTGGCATCGAATGCGTGGGCTTACCTTATCTCAGATGGTATGTGAATATCGTCCTGTCCAGTTATGACGAGTCACCCGATGGTTATCACTATTCGCGGGTAAAATTATTCACAAGGAAGTATAGTGTGGACCGTGTGGGTAATTGGGAAGAGGCCTCGTTATTTGTGAGAAGTCTTAGGGAAAGTGGACGAAGTACTTGACCACATGACTCTTTTAGGCACATGGTTTCGTCCACGGGGGTCAGCATCCGGGAACGGTAAAATCCACCGCCTGTCTGGATGTTTCCTGCAAATGGCTAATGTGGCTGAGCCCGAAGCAAAAACCACAGTAACTTTCATCTACTTGTGGCGTGCGAGTAGGTAACAGTTTATAAGCATCAGGATGCGCCTTATTTCCGCCAAACTTTTTTAGTTAGATCTTTCTTCTCCATAAGGACTTCATGGTGCCAATTCGTGGGTACAAAATGCACGACTGTGAGTTTCCAGAACGTCTTTGTTAAAACCAGTCACCACAAAGTTGCCTAGACCGAGCACATCTCAGATAAGCTTGATTTTCAGACTTAGTAGACCAACCGATCTAAACAACAAGCGATCGCAAAAAAGGGGAGATTTAGTTGGGTTCAGTTCAATCTCCTGTGAAAATCAAATGTGTGCGAGAATGAGAAGATTTGTCGAATTCTTCCAACTCCTGGTTCAAGCAGAACATAAAGTTAAGAGACAGAACCTACCAGACGAGCCCCAGGAAGAGCCGAATTTTTTGTGGGATAGCAGGTTTTTAGCGTCTTTATGTATAGTGTGTGTTGCGTTTATACATGTGGTTTGTTCGCTGGCTTGTGACAAACAATTTATATTGCAAGTGACCACATCAGAGTTTGGACACCCTGATTGTTTATCTAGGAAGTTTGTTTTCCATTTATCTATGCAGCGCGTCAACCGTTTCCATGATACGTATTGACTACTCAGATTTACTTTTGGCCATGTGGTCGGTTTGAACTGTCTCGACACAAGCGCCAGTCAGAAACTGTTGTTATATGACACAACCAGGTCAGAAAATTAAGGGGGTATGTTTTGGCGGATAAAGCTTCCATTTTTTGCCGGCCTTGAAGTGTGCGATGAATCGGGGGAAAACTGTGATGAAATCTAAATGAGAACCTTTTGCTAAGGGGGAAAAAGACCCACTCAACCCTGCACTGACGATATCACTTCCATTGGTGATGAAACGTTCGCAATCCAACTGCCAGGGTCGGC